TTTTTTTTTTTTTTTGTTCCATCTAAAAATTATTAATTCTTTTCTTCATCTTCAACCATTTTTTTCTTTCTTATAAATATTCCTATCTTTTTTTTTTTTGTTTTGAAATATTCAAATTTTTTTTTTCTTTTACGAAAATATAAAGTTGAAGATAAAAACGAAAATGTCATGCAAATTTACGTGAAAATTTTTATTACTCATTTTATTTCGTTTCAAAAAAAAAAAGCGAATTTAAGATTGAAAAAGGAAAAGAAAAAAGAGTACTAAGTCATTTTTTTTTTTCTAACAAAAGATTAAAAGTATACATTTAAATTTAAATATTTATTTATTAATTGTTATATGTCGATTTACATATTCGTTTGTTATTTTTTTTCTTTATGTGAACATGTACTGTTTGTATACAGTAGTTAAAGCACACGTGCATACGTGTTTTAAACATTTGTCAAGACACGCGTGCGTACGTGTTTTATACATTGCTTAAGATACACGTATGTACGTGTTTGATACATGGATTAGGATAAACGTACATAAATGGTTTCACACATGGGTTAGATTATACGTATATTTTATACATGAGTTACGATACATGTATGTACGTGTTTTAAATGTTGTTAAGATACACGTACGTACATGTTTCATACACGGGTTAAAACATACGTACGTATATGTTTTATACATGGATTAGGATACATGTATGTACGTGTTTTAAACGTAGTTAAGACACACGTGCGTACGTGTTTTATACATATATGAATTTGGATAGGAAAGTTTAGATTGCTAATTGATATTAATATGTGAATGTTTGTGTGTAAAGAATGAAAAATTCAGGTAGATAGATCCCTTTCGGTCTCTTTTTTCTTTTTGTTTTTCTAGAAAGTTCCAGAAATAAATAGCGCGCGCATTGGATGAATGTATTGGTGGCGGTCGTTAAAAGATAGGGGGGCAAATGGTCGTGTCAATCTTGTTTCCGTTGTATCATCATCATCATCTTGGGAAGGAAGATGGATGGGGTATATGGTTGATTGAATGGGGAATGAAAACGGAATGAGTTAGGATAGGTGTAAAAGACGGGGGAAGGGAGAGGGGGGGGGAGGGTAAAACCTTTATGGAAATTCGGGTCGTTGATAGTTAATGGTTTGCTTAGGGTCATAGGGCATAGAGGTTATCTTTTTGTTCAATCAGTTATTTTCATTTATTATTTCTTGACCTCATCTATTCCACATTTTTTTGCTTACTTGACCTTTCCCTCCAATTTCATCAATCTTAACAATCTTCACTCTTATTTATATTCGATTTTGTCGTACTACAGATCTGTGCGAAGCATTCTTGTGTCGTTAATTATAAACAATTTTTATCTACCACTCTTCATAATTTTGCTATTCTTCTAAAAATAAATTGATATTTTTTAAAAAGGAACAAATTTTACAACAACAAAAAGGTATTTTTTCAAAAATTTTTAAATTAAGTTAAATTTTAAATTAAAATTTTTTTTTATTTGATATGTTCCTTCTCTACCCAACTTTTACTTTATATTCCTGTCATTGTTTAGAACTTCATACAATCTTCAATTCAATTCGTGTGATAAAATAACGGATGGCTCTGTATGTATGTTTATATGTATGTGTGTATGTATATATGTATATATGCATGTACGTATGTATACATGTATGTGTGTATGCATATATGTATGTATGTATGCATGCATGCATGCATGTATGTATGTATGTATGTATGAGTGTGTGTATATATGTATGTATGTGTGGAGTCATTTTATCCGTAGGATGAAAAATTTACACTAAACCACTACCGAAACTCCATGTCATCCATTCATGTCATCAGTTGTAACGCTATTAGTCGTCGTCATTTTAAATTTCAGTTTTCTTCGTATTGTTAAATTTGACATTGTCGGTATTCGTTTGTTCTTTCATTTCATTTTAAAAATGAAATTTTTCGAGAAGGCAAACAGTCAAAATTTTTTAACGACAAAAGTCATCTCACTATTTTTCTTCCGGTTGGTATACAAACATATTTCTATTGGATGGCAATCGAGTGAGAAGAAATAATATCACACAAATTATAAGCAAGCATTACTTCGTCTCATTCCTTTTTTTTTTTTTTGTCATCAATACTTTTACATATTTTTTATCGATTGTTTGTTTTATCTTCACCTAAATGACAAAATTGAACAAGTATTTTTGATGAAGAAGACCCAAGAGATATATATATGTATATGTTCTATTTAGTTTGGTTATATAAAAAGAATTGGGTCAATATTTTGGCCAAAAATTCTTTTTTCCTATTTGCAATAAATAGCCAAGCAAATATTTTCATATAAATATGCTAAATATATATGATAATTTTCTTTGGTTTCATTTAAATTTTCCTTAATTCGAATAATTATACCATTGGAAATATTCAAATTTAATCTTTTTTTTTTTTTTGCAGAATTTATTTATCAAATTGCTCCGGAATTTTTTTTCGTTATTTCATTTTATTTTTCAATTTTTTCTTTTTCTTTTTTTTTTTTTTAACAAATCTCATTGATTACTTCAACATTTTTCTTCATTCTAATTTCATTTACCAATGTATTAATCAACCTCTAATAATATCATTAAGTTTCATCCCATCAATTTTAAACTTAACATTGATAATTGTCCTCGAAAATTTTACATTAATATTTTTCAAAAAAATTATTCATACATTTTACTCATTCTAAATCTGTACTCATATTCATCATTTATTACTTATATTCGTACTCATATTCATCATTTATTACTTATATTCGTACTCATATTCATCATTAATTACTTATATTCGTACTCATATTCATCATTTCTATTCATATTAATACTTTTACATATGTTTGATTGAATGATTAATTACATGTTAGGATATATGTAAGAAAAAAAAAATGAATGATTTATGAATGTCAACTGATAACTTGGATGAGTCATCAGTTTTTTTTCTCTACTAAAAAAAAAAACAAATACCTACTGTTGTTGGACAAATTTTCATGTTCATTTTGATGTTGCATGAATTTCATTTTATTTCAACAAATATATGATATTAAAATTGAAAAAATTTTGCTTTGCATAATCAAAATGATGAAGAAACGAGAGATGATGTCATCGTTATATAATTTTCATTCAATCGATTTGAGAGATGACATTGCACAGTTAAGCTTTATTGGCTTTTTTCATATCATAACTTCACATCTTTAAGAATTGGGCCTAATGCTCGATAGCTTCATATGCTCTCTTGGCTTGGCTTGGCTTACCACTTCTCATTGTTCCCATTCATTCTCCATTAACTCTCCTTCACTTACATCCCTACTTTTTCATTTTTAAATCTATCGATTTACTCTTCAGACCGTGTGAACTTGCATATATGCGTGTGTGTATGTGTGTGTGTGTGTGTACGTCTGTGTGTGTGTGTACGTGTGTGTGTGTGTCTACGCACATACGAAATTATTCCAGCTGTCGCTTTATCATTTTCTGGGCCAGTTCAAGACTTTGCTTACATATACATATGCATGCATGTCTGTATGTGTGTATGTGTGTGTGTGTGTGTGTATGTGTGTGCGATGTGTGTGTGTGTGTGTATGTGTGTGTTAGGAACACGAATTTTCAAGTCAGTAAAGCTTTAGTTTAAAGAACTGCTGCTGTCTAACTTCGTCATTCTTCTAAGGCTTCAGACATATTTTCTTAAGGATAAAAGAAGCTTACGGTTGAATCCTGCTTGTGATACACGGTACCCCGAATATATTCATTTCTGGTAAATTTCTTAACCTTATTTTATCACATACGTACATTCACATACACACATACACGTATGTACCACATACACACATACACATAGACATGCACACATGTATGCATACAGAAAACTATGTCCATATTTAATTTTACAAAAAAAGAAATTAAGCTGAGGGATTTTATTTACCGTACCAAATAAATTGTAGTAATTTGTCCTTCAATTTTTGATTTTGCCCTATATCAATCATTAACAAAATTTGACCGATACCATTCATTAACGAAACCTTCGAAACCTTTTTGAATGTTACGAAAGAAAAGACAAAAAAAAAAAGAAGGAGAAAATATATGGCGAAAATTGAGCAAAAATAGACGAAAGTAAGAATGAAAGAAATTAATTTTAGTAAGAAATATTACAACTTAATTAGCATTAATTTACTATTTTATTTTATCACTAAAAGTATGAATGAAATTTAAAAAAAAAAATTAAAGAACTATTTTAATTGATTTGACGAATTATTAACAATTTTAATTTAATTATTTGTTTACTTTTTATTTGTCNTTTAAATTTCATTCAT